TAAAATATAGAGGTAAAGTGAGAATGAAAGGATTAAAAATAAGACTAGACTCCAACATGAGAAGATCTCGCCCGAGAAGATACGTAAATCGTAGAAGTTTAGGAGATTGGAGACAGAGAAGTTGAAGATCTCAAGTAGGAAATACAGCTTATCAGTCCGTATTGGTTGGTAGCTGTGATTTGTAAGTGGCTAATTAGGGTCACAATTAATCAAGTGTATTACGAGAAAAACCCGAGTAGGGTGTGCACGGGGGACTACTGTACTGGTAGTGCCTCAACTCAGGAAATTGTCGGTTTAATCACGACACCGATCAATACTGCTTGCTCATCTGCGACTGTCTACCTAAGTTCACATTACTATTTTCTGTCAATACGTATCCAGTAGGCAGCTTTTGATTTGTTTAATTGATCTTAAGTCTCTCTCATTTATAATTTGTATTTCTCTTCTTAGCATATTACTGAGTGTAGACCAGTGTCAACCAGGATTTCTATTTGTAAAATATAGAGGTGAAGTAAGAATTAAAGGGTTGAACTGTAAGAAAATGCTCCATCATAAAAAAAGGTTTTACCAAAGAGGTACATAAATCCTCAAGCTGTAAGAGATCGAAGACAGAAATCGAAGGTCTCAAAATAATAAGGGTTACAGTCTGCTGGTTGGTACTGTGGCGAGTAAGGGCTAAATTACGTAAGAACATCATATTACTAGAAACGCCTTTATTTGGAGTGTAGAAAGGCTACTACCGTAGTGATTCTTTATTTTGGGAAGGTGTCCGTTAGCCACGACAGTGTCATGAGCCGTAAATCCCACGTCAAACAGTGGTTGGAACTGCAAGTCTTACAAGTTTTTCTTAGATGGCCGTTTAAGAAACAAGAGAAGGAGGATATTTTCGTTTAGTAAAACCCTACCAAGAGAATATGGAAGATCTTTAGAAAACGATGAAGAAAGAATACTGTCCTTACCCAGCTAAACAAATGCTTGAAACTCTCCACGCATGAGACATTGCGATACTTACATGATATTTTTGAGCTGTAAACAACATGTAGCAGCATCAAGCAATTTGAAAAATTTTTAACTTCACGCGTTGCCTTTACCTTTTGTCTACGGCTTCATAGCAAATTTCGCATGACTTTGGCTTCAAATAAAAACCGAATCAAAATAAGGAATTACTGTGCCGATTGCACTAACCATGAGATAAAATTTATGTTTATTTGTACTGCACGTGAAAGCAGTTTTTACAAAAGTTTTCCCAGCTTCAAAAACTAGATACAATTAAATGAAAATGAATTCCAGTTTTAACTGTTGTAATTAGCAGTTCTACTCAAGTAGTGGGAAGCCTTGTGATAAGCCAGTAGAGTCAGATCTACAGAAGCAATCTTTAAGACTTTTCTTTCTTACACTTTTATCGGGCAAGTCGTGCATTATTTCTCCGCCGTAGCATATCTGTCGTCAGTGAGATCCGTTAAAACGGCGCCAGAAAGCTTTTACGGTTGTAGTTTATGAGGAAAAGGCCTGAGAATCAACTGTCTTTTACAAGTTACTATATGCTGTTTTTTACAGCTTATCTTTCGGCAACATCCTCTAACCAAGTAGACAATCAGTTTAAAGGCAAGTTATTACTGAGTAGAAGAAAACACATTATGGTCTTCAGAAAACATTAAACTGGAAGTTTTAATCAACAGTACAGTTGGGAAAAAAATCCCAGGCGAAACTACAAATTCCAGCCCGAATTTTTATCCCATACACCAGCACTTTCTTCAGCAGTCTACTTCTCAGTACCTGTTATCAATCAGACGACTTATGGAATTCTCCTCAGAATTTGTTTCGGTTTGATTATCACTGGTAATATTTTAAGGACGGGTGATTTGAAACTTCAAGATGCAATGAGTTGTGCCAAGCTTCATGCAATGTTCATTCTTTAAGCTCTGACTACTGTAGTACTGAAGAAGTCGCTTTGCAGTTAGCAAGTTTAAACTCTCCGTTTTCCAAACCAAAATCTTACGGGCTACAGAAAAATATTTTCCGAGGGTGTCCTTAAAAGACTGCTGCCTCAGGCAGTTTGGAAGTAATTTGCTAAATCCTTTGCTTCGCTTGGAAACTTGGCAGTATTCTTAATGACGGGCCCTAGCGTTTGTGTCGAGTAAAGCTATCTCACTGTCCAAAGCTTAATCGATGTAAATGGTCTATGGGTCTAATTGTCGCAGGGACTGTCTCTAAAGAATTCTGAGGTCAAGTCTCGTATCAAAAGTTAGGTTCTTGTATGGTTTAATGAAGGCTGACCTCCTCTAGAGTCGTTAATGATGTATCAGAATTTGACTTGTAATTCCTTTACTATTTTACGGCCACTCTACCTCATCCGTGACGTTCTGCTCACTTCGTTGCTGATTTTTTTTTTTGTGAAAATCGATTTAATTGTCAATTACATTTTGCTTTTGGGTGGTGATCATGTCATAAATAGTTTTCTTAAACAGCTCAAAGCGGTCTTAATATTGTACTCCCTCAGCTGTTGAGCTTTCCCTTCACTACTGGCCCCCTATAGTTGCTCTCGGTTACAGCGCGGACATCAGTGAAATTAAGCACCCTGTTTAGTACATGATTTTCTTTCTCATTCTTTCCGAAGGGTGCACTAAAAAAGCAACATCATTACTGAATTTTACCCAGTTCTTTTTGTTTTGGCTACGCGTGAAAGAGCACAGCCCGTGAGGTAAGCAACCTGGCCTGACCCAGAAGGATGCTTTTGGAGGTTAACGAGAAGGAATTGCCGTCTGAGGCCAATAAAAGCTGCAGCGCCAGCCTGTCGAAACCATGAACTTTCCTTCATTGTCAGAGTTATCATCCTAAGTTATAGTTGTAAGCTCAGCGGCGGTGAATTTTGTCCGCAATTTGTAGGACTCGCTTTTGCTGCTTATTACAAGACCGGTCTATTGGGACCTGTAGCTTTATCATTTAAAGTTTAAATTTGTCTTATTTGCCGTATTCTTGCTTTATAACCTTATCGAGTGATTGATTACTGGTTATCTTAATTGGTTTCCTTTCAATATCGTAATAGCTGAGTTTTGGTAAGCTAAAGGATTTTTTACTAGTCTCAAATAGGTGGTTAGGCCCTAGGTCGAGGTCAGATCAGGCCTTGCTTCAGTAAAACAGAATTTGAGGTAGAGACCATCAGTTGTTATCCGAGTTGTCTATATTGAAACTACTATCAAAGGTCCTCAATTAAAATAATAGTAACCAGAATAAGTAAATAGTATCGGGTTACTGAAATTTAGTCTTCTCATATGGTACGCTCTTGCAAGACAGTAAGCAGCTAATTACTTCTTAGAAGGATGCAAAGAAGGAGAAGGTTCTCAATAGCAATGTATAGAGGGAACGCTATTGTAAATGTTCTCCTGATTCCAAAATTCTTCTCGGTAGTTGCAACACTTTTAACTTCTATTTTTTTACTCCAAAATCACTTCAGTTTCCTAAGCTAGAATTAAAACACTCATCGGTTGTTTTAAAGTGTCGGCAACTGCAAGAGCATAACACAGTAGGCTGAGAACCAGCACATAATTTCAAAGAAAACTCATGGGCAACAAACTTGCTTTTCAGGAAAAGTAGTTATTCCTTCTATTTTGGCTAAGGGCTCTTAATAGCTAAAAATATCTGTCGAGATAGTATTTTTTTTACAGACCACTTTTTCCTCGTCATTTGTAAAAGGCAGATATGTTTCTCCCAGTTGGAACGGAATATTATTTTGTTTGAAAATTTGATAACTTCAAATGAAAAGTGTTCTTCAAACCTTGAAGAGGATGCTCCTGCATTGCGGCTGAATATGAGATGATGAGGGGCGAAAAAGAATAAAAAATAAAAAACATTGTATATATTTCTTTTGCCAATGCATGCAGCGCTTTCTTAAGTACTGCAGAAAAACTTCGACGGAGGGACGGATAAAAGAAAAATTACTTCGACATTATCTCCTTTTTTGTCGACTCCGCGGGCTATTTTTTCGCTTATTTTAGCAGTACCATAAAATGACTCGCCAGTTCTTCGATTAGTTAATTTTGCAGGTTGCTTTCCCAGATAAGTTACTGCGTCATGCACAGAAGCCTGTTCGGCTCGAACAAAAATGAACCTGAATTTACTGGCAATCAGAATAAGTTTTAAAAAAGTATTAGTATACGACTCGAGTAACAAACTAAAATATATTTATTTTGGTAACTAACGGGTTGCTAATTTGGTTATATTTGCTCCTTGATAGTATTCGGAATCCGCCACAGAGTCGCTTAGTCGACCCGTCACGATGACTAAATTGGGCACAAACCTGATTGTTTTCCAAATGAGCTTGTCCAAATGTTTCGTAGTGTCCAAAATGGTCATTTACACTCCTTTAATTAAGATTAAGATTATTTATTTTGTTAACGAAACTAGATTACAATTGGGCTACTGCAATTAAAACAATTAAAGCTACTTTTAAGCTTATTTGGAATGCACAAAAAAATTTCACCTTTTTTTGAAATATTGCTTTGAAAAAATAGCAATTTAACATAAAAGTCTCATGCCTAATTAAAACGATTTTTTGCAGCGTAACGACCGGAGCTTAAGGCTGCGTAAGTAATCCTAATAAGTTGTAGAGTCAAGGGCCATTGAAAACGCAAATATAACTTACCAGAAAGCGACAAAGGCATTTCTAAGGTCACTGCAGCTTCCACTACTGTCCATTCTGATAAATTCATCTGAGGAACGTCCAAGGGGCAGAGTACCATCGCGATTGACCACCGTCCAATATTGCTCTCCAACCTAAGTAAATAATTACTAAAATGTGTAGAAGTGCTGATTTCGTCGGTTTTATCAGACGTTACGTTTAATTGTTGCTCAGAGCTTGTATTTTTTCAGGGACTGCCTCAAAGCGGCTTAAGATTTTTACTGCTGAAAATTAAAATTCTTCGTTGGCAGTTAATGAAAGTGTCGAGCTTTTGGTGATTTATTTAAACTGATACGAAATTCTAAGGCAAAATATTTGGCTTTGGTCATCTGAAACTTCAGTTCATAAAAAAACATTTTTTATCACTGGATATTTAAGGCAGATCTTGCGTGAAAAGGCTAAAGGGAAGATAAAACGTTTTAGCTAGTGATGAAGCTCTAGCTAAGTTTCTTAAGCGATTTGATTAAACTATTGCTGTGAAAACCAGCACTTTTACTCGTTTTTCTTGCTCTGTGAGACCATAATAGAAAGACTATAATAGAAAACTAAGCAAACGAAAGAAGTGAGGAGGTGCTGTTATGAGTCTGTTAATAAAATTGTAGTGCAGTTTCAGGTTTAAAATGAAAAAAGGCTGTTTGTTATTGTAGTTTACACTTATTGTCTGTAGTAAGAGGGCTGACTATTCTTTAAAAAGTGATTTTTTTAGCGTGCTGTCGTTTCTGGTAGTTTAAACTAATTTATCATAATTTGAAAAACTTTTTCTGTGATTAATAGTGTACAACGTTTTTTAGAAAAGTGTGGTATTCGATAAGTAGTCTGTAAAGCAGATGTCCTTCTTTAGCTGTATCAGTTTTTCACTGTAGTAAACATATTTCAAAAAATTCATCATTAATATACAGTTTGGCACTTCGGTTCAATATCTTTACCTTCATTTGTTCTTTCTGGGTTCCCGAAGAAGTGACTGGTACTTGTCAGGTTTCTTCTTCAATATTTCCTCGACTAATTTTGATTAAAAGATTTATGATATGTGAAATTATTAAGCGTCATATGTCTTCTGAAGCATTTATGAATTTTTTTTTTATTAGATTAGGAGTCACAAAGTGACAAAGATTTTGAAGTATTAGAGCTGTTATTAAGAAGGTAAGATACTGCAGCAGCTTGTCAGCATGGACTGTCTAATATCAAGCTGACTTCTTGGTTAGTTTTTCTTGGGTCATTTAATTGATGTAAAACTTCGTACGTTTTTTTTTTTTTTTTTTTTTTTTTTTTTTTTTTTTTTCCCTTTTTTTTTTTTTTTTTTTTTTTTTTTTTTTTTTTTTAGTTTTTTTTTTTTTTTTTTTTTTTTTGGGGTTTTTTTTTTTAGTTGTTAGCTGATCGCAAACCACAGCGTTGCTGTACTTTGGCATGCTGGAGGGAGGCTGTCAAAAATTTGCAGTACTGCCCTTAATGTTTTATAGAAACAAATGATGTTTATTGGATTAACAGACTGGTTAAATAGAATTTGAAAATACCTGTTCCAAACATCCAAAATTCATTTTTCGAAAAACAGTTTTCCGAATTTATTTGTCACCATTCAACTTAATCTTTAATTCATTTTATGAAACGGGTAGCATTTGACAGGAAACTGCGATTCAATTTGCGCTATATAGTATCCAAGTATTATCATCGTCAGCAGTGACTCGAAGATTATCAGAAAATAAAAGGAATGCATGTACCTTTAAAGATGGAGCTGGTTATGTTTGTAAAGTGGGGTAACTGAAGGGCAAAATGTTGGTTTTTTAAAGCAACTTTACAAATTATGGCTTGCAGTTCTCTGGTTCAAATTAGAAGAAGAAGATGAATTGAGCAACTGGATACTATAAAGCCTCAAACGCAGGGCAGTTAAATCATCGTCCCACACCTTTCGCTGTGGTCGAGTCCCAGGTCTTTACGTTTCTGTGCTAAATCGCTAATTAGGTTGTAGCCTACAGTTTTAATGTAAAATCAAAGTTTCTTTTATAAGATTTTCATCTCTCCAATAACTTCTGTTGGTCGTCGACCATTTTGCTGCATAATAACTGCACCGCATTTTTTCTTTGTCTTTATTTTTCCAATCTTGGCTACACCAAGTCTTTATAAGTCTTCGTGTTTTGTGGAAATCTTGAGACTCTCGTAGAATGAAGACGCCAGTAGTGAGCGACTTTGTAAAGATATGAATCGGTTTAATTGTATAGTTGTACAGTAAAATTGTATAGTTCTGATGATTCTCTACATCTATATTAACGGAGAAAATGGCAAAAATGCAGATGGGATTGGCTAGATATTAGCAAAAGTATTCAAACAATACGTGAGAATAAAAATATTGTAAAGACATTAGATGGTACCGAAAAGATGTGGTGTTAAGAAAGTAGTTAAATCTAGCTTTGCTTTAAGTTGTCTTTAAGACACTTATGACCCACACTTATGATTGGATATTATCTAAAATTGAAAAAATAAAGGCTTTTAAAGGTTAAGGACCAGGAAGAGTTGAAAATAAAGATAATAAAGTAGTACAATGTTTGCGAGCACTTTTTTGGTAACTATTAAATCATTCATGCAATAAACGGTAAAACTGTTAAAACAGATATTTTTAAATGTGTAATGAGCTGTCTTAATTTTGAACTTTATTCTCAGCTTCATCATAGCTTTAGCCAATTGACAGCTTTTATGGTCGCATTTTTTTGTTACAGTTACTCAGTGCCTTATCTTCTTTCTTTTTTCCTTTAAATTATTGTTTTCACCATTGTGTTAAAGTCAAAATATTGGCCAAAAAAGTGTGAGCGGCTTTAGATATAAAGTGAATGATTATTCAACTGTTAAAACAGAACAACTGTGAAAAACACTGGTTTCCAAAAATCTACCTAGCAGCCATAAACTTTCATATTAGCAGTAATATACTGTAAAACACATCTAGTGATTTAGATAACCGTCGTCGGTGGGCACATTTTTCTTATAAATAATTTGATTGCTTTCCTACTGTATTTAAAATTACTGCTAAATTCACATTAAATCTTTAAAGTCCTATTTTGAGATTAATTTTTTCTGCCTTTTTTTGGCAGTAAACAAATTTTTCCTCTATTTTCAAGTTTTAAGACCAGAGATAGTTGATAGATACTCTATTTGCAATATAGAAACTATCAACTTTGTGAGGCCTATTTATCAGCTTTTTATTGAATTTATTGAATTGCACAAAGCAACTGCTGAAATATCAACCTTTAAAGTCTTACCCATGCTGCATTTGAGTTGGCAAGTAAAGCTACAATCACAGTAACAGCAAATAACTGCATTTTTGTTATCCCTTTCCCAACTGATATTTCTTGTAATGTCTTCTTTTTGATAACTGAAATTAATGTAATCGTACTGACTGAGGATAAAGACCATGTACCGTTATCATTTGCTGATACTACGCACAATAGTCCAGAATACAGTAATCAAGCCAAAAATTATCCTCCGTAAATTAGGTTACTCATTTGAATCTATATAAATATATGTAGAATTGTTTTTTTATATAAAAAGTCAATTATTTGCATTAAAAAAGATGAAGTTTTTCTGTTATCGTAATTACTCATATAAATAATTTCAAAAAAAAATTTTCTTTTGTTTTCATTCGTTTGAAAAAGATAAATATTGAAGAAACAAAGAATTCCTTTACATAAACCTCCTAACACTGTTGATATTTCACGTATAAAAGATCTAAATTCATAAAAGAAAAAAACTGCTTACAGATTGTTGTAAATATGAATGTTGAAAAAATGTTGAACAATGTTGAAAAAAAAAATAAAACGGAAAAGGTTGCAATAACACAACTGCTCAAAAAGCGCTATTAATTATCGACTAGACAGTAATATTGGTTGCTTAAACTAACTTTACACTAAACATACTTTAAAACTTTTCTGTACAATAATAATTTTTTTTCAAACAGTGCTCCTTAGCAATAGCTTTTTTCTCTTTCTTTCTCTCTCTCTCTCGAAAAAAAAAATAATTTTTGAGAAAGAACAGAAAAACTAGGTTAAAAAGCTAGTGAAAAACAAGTCCACTTTATCGTCATCATTTTACTGTTGTGTAACAAGAATACTTTACAAATACTTTGTTTCAGCAATCGGCAACTGACCACTAACAACTATGCATTTTTTTACAGTCCTAATGACTGCTTTCCCTCTGTTACTATAGCCAACAGCACAATTTTTTCAATGCTATTTTAAAACATCAATTATGCTCCAGAAAATCTTAGTAGAAAACTTTGTACCGTTCAAAAGTATTTACGTAAGCATGGGCCAAAATTGGCCCAAACCACTAAAAGAGTGTTCCAAACATCACTAAAAGATGCGTTCCATCTATTGAAACTTCCTTTCAACTTTTTCAAGTGAAATTTATTTTACTGCCATGGAGAAGTTTGATCGGTTCCATTTATAAAAAAAAGACTTTGCTTGGGAACGACAAAAAAATGCATTAACAGTAAACGAAACATAACACGGTTCCCAAAAAATTCGAGCCTCAGACAACTTGTGGCAGTTGCATAATAAGACTTAAGAACGATTGCTTTCTTTGTAAAGAGCCGCCTGCAACTTTAAAATGGGAAAGCCCGACGCTACCGTTCCATTGGTCCCAAATGTCCAAACAGTAACCCACAATGAAACAAGGCGAATAGCTCAACCAGACATGAAGGCTAGTTGAACCAAAAAAAACGAAACCAAAACAAAGCAAAAAATTCACATTCAGCATAATCAAAGTACAACAAATTTAAATTTTTAAGAGCCACAAACTTAAATCCAGAGAATGCACCTTTTAGAACCAAAACATTAACAAGAATAATGTCTCCAATAAGGAATAAGCAAACTCTAAAACAAAGCCAGAAAAAAAAAAAAGATACTGCTAAACTGTTTTAGCTTTCTCGCTTGTGCTTTGCCTCAGAGTTTCTCAAAATGCTGATCAGTCAAATGATTGTCTCAATCTTTTGCTCTAGTCGAGATGAAATCGACAATTTTGTGAGCCTGCAGCTTTTTTTTTTTTTGGAAGCCTGCAGTGACCTTCGCTGTACCCTTAAGTTCTGAACTTGTGGCGCTCCCGTCGAGCTCTATTATGAAATTGTCGACGCAGTGGAAATGAAGGTTTTTTCCTCCTCTCAAATACTCCGCCAAGAGAGCCTAGTTTTTAACGACCACCCATTCGGCTGTTATCAACGTTTGAGCGCCACCTCTGCTAGCCCTCCTCTGGTTCCACTTTAAAAAAATATCAGCTTTCACGTCTGACTAGATAAGAAAATAACCGTTTATTACACCCAAATCTTAGCACCATATATAGAGAAGAGGAATAAAGTAACGCATGCACACACCAGTTTAAAAGCTGATAAAATAAAGGACAGGCACCATACAGAAACTAGTTGACGCCGTCAAAATGAGTCCCTTAGCACGTCAAGACCAAAAATAAAAGTGAGAGTTTAGGAAGTTTCCCTTAAACTTCATTTACTTTCCTAATCAAAAATTCCGAAACACCTGCTCACATGACTGTCCCACTCCGCCAAGATTCTCAAAAGCCAAAAAGACTCCCAACCTTCTGCTAAAAGAAAACGCCACGTTTATCCTACTCGGCACCACAGCCACGCAATGAACAAGCCAATTCTACAGTTATACCAAGCTGCAAAGTTGGAACAGACAAACCCTGCAAACTCCATGAATCCCCAACTCGTACGTAAAACTCCCCACCAACTTCCAATGCAATGACTAACTGTTAGTAATTATCCGGCGATTAAACTGGCAAGTTATTGTGGGCAGAGATTCACATTGCCAAAAGCGAGAGTATCTGCACGACCTTTCTAGCACTAATTTTCTGAACCAAAAAAGTACGTCCAAGAAAACCACATACGTCACAGCCCACTTGACTAGTTGGGTGGTTTCTGCTTCCAAACCTGTCTCATTAAAGCCCTGACACTACCAAAGCTGTACTGTAAAAAAAATCAACAAAGAACATCTTGGTCTCAGACTGTTCGGTTGATTATGCAGTTCTGAACCAAGAAACTACCACTTCTCTATGATTCGAATAATGAACCACAGTAACCACATGAATTACCTTTTTTAAGAACAAGTTCCCAAATTAAAACATAAAACCACGGTCAACAGCACTCAAGCACTTCCTGCGGAATGAAATGTTGGTCTATAAAAATGAAAAGAAAAGAGCAGTAAAACCCTAAATAGCAAAAAAAAGAAAGAAATAATCTTATAAATTTAAACCAGTAATAGGAGGAGAGCTCCCCTCTTTAAAATTACCATTCAATCTTTTTAAAATATACCCCAAATGAAGAAAGAAAACTAGAAAAAAACCAACAGTTGGTAGTGAGCCGTTAAAAACCAACAAAGTCAGAAACAAGACAATGCATACAAAACGACTAATCAGAAGTGTTGCTACAGATCAGCAGAGCTACAGAAATTAGTTCAACAAAAACAGCAAATGCTTAACATTTAAACCCTTCCTAGCAAACAACCTTCTATCACACGACTAATACCATACAGAAGAGCAAACACAACAGGAGATTAAAAAAAGCATCAGGTGGGGCTTGTCCTTAGAACACGTAAAAATCCTGATTACCATCAAATACCATCTTTTCGAGTCATGCCTGCCAATTCCAGTTAGCTCTTCCTACGCCCTGCAGCAACTTTTATGCGCAAAGAGCGTTTTTACTTTTATGTGGTACGGTATCTCCATTATTACCGTCGCAAATAAACGCAGGATGTGAGAGATGTTAATGCTGCCCTGCGCAACCACGTACCGCACGCACGACAGAAAGTCCACGCCTTAAAATTTCAACCGTAATTCTGTATGCAGCAACACAACCAATAATAAGATGGAAGTAAATGCAACACAAGAGTAAGTATTTAAATCATGTACATATAATTGTTGGAAAGTAAAAACAACCTTACTACTTCAGCGTAACACAAGAAAATACAAAAGCTCTTTTAACGAAGTTACATCAAACCCAAGCAGTCCATCCTTCATACATCAAAGCAAGATTACTCAAATTTGTTGCTTGCTCGATCCATATATTAACCTGCAAATTAAGAAACGAGTGGAATTAAAGTGTACCGTAATGTGAAAAGCAAAACAACCTGTTAGCGAAAAGACTTCCAAACCTGTTCAGCAAAAGAAAGCGGCTCTCTATCTAGACCATCTTCGCTAACAGTCTTACTGCCATTGGCAGCATCTTTATACAAAGATGGATCTTTCCCCTCCAACTTTTGTCTTACGCGCAAAGACACAGTTTTAGCGTACACGTTTTGCTCTTGCTTGCTTAAAACTGTTTTGCCTAAAAGTAATTTTGACATACACAATCACAAATTGAAACGTGAGCTGTTTAGATAGCTCCAAACCTTCTGATTCTTGATGAAGTTTAGAGCTAGGGCGCGAAGAAGTCGCGGCTATCTTTTCATCCTTCCCCTTCAACGTAAGCAACTGATTGTAAATACTAAAATCAACTAAGACATCAAAATAAAAATTTAAAATATGATGTTAGTGGATTACGAATGACTGCTAAAGCTAGAAGAAATCTTCTACTGAGAAAAGAAACCACCTATCCAACTGATCATTGACGGACTGGAACAATGACGCAACATAATCAAACTTCTCCTCATCATTATCTTCATAAAGTTTGTATCCTTCAAGTAGAGGTGCGATAAACTTGTCTTTATAGGTCCGAAGATAGTCCCGAAACTTTTCATTGGTCTAAACAACTTACATGAAGAACAAGTCCCGAATTTAAACGACAGTGTTGCTGCGAACACCTCAAAAACTAGCAAACTCAGTGAACTAAATAAAAGAATTACATATGCCAGGGACCGCAACAAGGGCCGGAAATCATGCATTAAGTGTTTATGCTCTGTGATTGACTTCTTAAGTTCAGTGCTAGCCTCTGTTCTTTCTTTTTCTATATTTTTCACTTCCTCCTCTCCTGGAGCTTTTCCTTTGACCATGCTGCCGTAATCTAGAATACCCTCTCTGGATCGATGAGTCTTCTCCAAAGCTTCAACCATCCGAAGCAGTGCGTAATGTAACCGGTCACTAAATTAGTAAGTTAACTATGACCTATAAGGACCAAACAGCCTAAGAAATTAAAAACAGGAAGCTGTATTTCACCCATTTGCACGCCATGGAACTCCGAATTCTCTTACACGAAGGTCATATAAAGAGTATGTAAGTGGAAGGGCAGTCCCAGGATAAGGTTCAGTGCCTAAAATTAAGCGATTTTTTCATGCATCAAGAACCAAGTTAATGCCCCGTATCGATACTATCAGGATTACCGTATACTGCCAGTAAGGTAGCAACACCAATAGTTCCACTAGTGATCAACTGCTCTTGTGCTCCAGCCCAATCTACCAAAGGATCGTAAACAAATGTATCTAGTAAAGTAAGCAACACCTCCTTACTGGCTCGGAGTCTCTTAAGCATTTGCTCACACGACAATCGAAAAGTGCCCTGAAGTCAATAATTTTACTTTCTGATACTAGCGCCCATCAGAATTAGTGCAATATTAATGCTAGCACGGCTTAAAGCTACTACAACAAGAAGTAGATTGTCCTTCATAACTCTAAATACTTACATCAAGTCCAGAAAAAATTTTAAAAAAAAAAAGGAAAAAGAACTCAACCTCAATTTGAGTTGGACCTAACGCAAAAATGATGTTGTTCGTTAGGCGAAAGGGCACCGTTTCAGGAACTCTTAAATGTCGACCCTTAAAAAATCTTGTAAAGAACTCCACTACGAGAAATTACATCAAACAAGGGCTTCAAGAAAGACTGCAATATATTCTCCATAACATGCTAATTAAATGAATTCCATCTAATGACGAAAAATGACTTACAACTGCACCTCCTCATACTGTTCTCCTACAGCACAATTATTCTTTTCATTAAGCGAAAAGTAAAATAAAAAAATCACCTTATCGAAACAGACGTTATAGTCAATATGAATGACCTGTCCAGAATCCAAATTAACCAATAGATTATCCAAATGCCGATCACCCAAACCAAGGATACTCCCTAGCATAGACATCACAGCTGTCGAACGAGCAAACCTTTCAGTGGTCCTGTACCAGTTAGAAGAACTTCCGGCTCGAATCCAAAGCTCACTGAAACACTTTTAATTGCTGTCAATGGGTCTTCCAGCACCGTGAAGGAATAACTAGCGTAAGACAAGAAACCAAAAGAAAAAAGTTGAGATTCCGCTTTAAAAAATATAACTCTTAAAGATGTTACCGTGAGAGTAAATCCGGAGGAGTTTCCTTCATCAGATCGCTGACTACTTTTTCCAAAACTGGCAGAGGCCATTTCTGACGATCAATCAGTATATCAGATGATATGTTCTACAAGAGTTGAGTTCTCATTAGTTCATTTAAGTAAAATTGAGTAAAACTACGATCATTCAAGACCTACATTTGCAACAAAGGCAGCCTTCAATTTTCTGAAAAAGAGCTCGCTAGGTCGATCAACTTCCACAATGTCTCTTTTTGAATTGACATTAAGTGCCTAAAAAATCCAAACGTTGATAAAGTACCACAAAGGTCCTTATTTCCCCAAAAAAAAAAAGAAAAAATAGTGACAGCAAAACCTACCTTCCTGTTCTGCCACTTCCTGTACACATGAAAGAGTGGTGTTGCACCATCCACCCACTGAATGAGACCTGACCGCGAACCCAAGGGGGTGACTGAATAATGTCTTGCCGAATACGGGGGCCACTCCTTTTCTTCTTCCAAAAGCATTAAGTTGCAAACTCGGAGGAGCTGCATGATTCGCTCATCAAGATGGAGGTCCTCTTGCCCTTTGAAAAGAAAAGGATACCTAAAAATTATCTCGAAATCCACAACTACAGAAACAAAAGAGGAATTTCTAACGCAGCCAACTGCAAAAATTTCTCCCATGTTCCTAAAACAATCTACAACCACTTTGGAAATTCGAAACGTATGACAAGCACTAACTCTTTCCCATTGGAACCGAGAAACGCAATTTTCTTTGGACGAGTCTTGGTAGGTAAAATAATAGCTTGTTTAGTCGTTTGCGAAACGGTAACTACGTCAACAAAATCCATTAGTTCCTGACCAGGTAATGGAATCTAAAAACTGCTCAAATTTCAACCAAACAACAACACTTCTCAAATGCAACAAAATATTATTTTGGAAAAGTGATAAAAGTTCAATTACACTAGTGTTCTTCAGCGCACATAAACGGGGAGAAATGTCTGCCGTAGCCAGTGTTAGTGCTCCGCGCTTGTTCGACCGCTGAGTTAGATTAACAAGTAGCTAAAATTAATTTTGAACTCACAACTACTGACAAAAGAACAATTTCTCAACTAATAAAACCCCATGAAAATAGATCTCTAGCGAAGAAATAAAAGCAATTTACTTGTTTGAATAAGTGCCATGCTTTTTTAGGTTCATGTTTATTCATTTTGAAGTTTTCATAGGCTGCAGATATTTGGTGGTGATAAGTATCACGAAAATGACGCTCATTCGCAGTCGACGGTTCTCGCAAGCATGTCCTTTCGTATAAAGCTTCAAGAATACGAAAAACCTAAAATGATGATAAATAAAGAGAAGTTGCTGTGAATATAACATTGGAACTGAAAGACACGATAAAAAGCAATTCAGAAATAAACATTCTAGCAGAAATACCATCTCAGACAAAATAACTGTCTTCTCTCTAATAATAGCCTGCTGTTCCTTAGGATTCAGATGAGTACAACATAAAGTCTTCGCTTTTTCCGATTCTATCTGCGCCATCCGACGGCTCATTTCGTGATCCAAGTTGGCGAGCACAAATAACCAACGCTCTTCGAATAACATGTTTATACGTTGAAGTTCCTAAAGCTTTCTCAATCCATAGAGCAAAAAATTTTGAAAAGCAGTGAAGATGAAAGTTAAAAGTAATTCAACTTTCAAGAGGTTTACCTGAACTAAAGCAGATACATTTTCAACCAGGACTGGGAATTTTTGAGAAAGATAAGAAACAATGCGTTGACAGCAGTCAAACATCAGAGTACGCTCCTAAAAGCATATTGTCTCAGAACAAACCAAGTCAAAGAGAAATCTTGAACAACAATTTTCAACCAAAACAAAATAACAAATAAAATATTACTGCTTCCACTTTCAACTGCCTTTCAGCATCCACAAGTTCTTCTTCCAACTCCCCATTTTTTTCAGCCACTCCCTCAGGAATAAACACTGACGATTCAGTTGCCCCGACAATTGCAGGATAACATAGAGCGTGTGGAGACTTTTCAGCAATGCGTTCCAACAAAGTGCACAGTGAATCCCGAACACTCGCTAAAGGGTGGTTTAAGCGAGCGAAAATTTGGGGCAAAATATCTGTAACAAAAAATAGATGTCCTACAGAAAAATGAGGGGGCACAAGAATCCAAGTTTTCAAACCATCACTTAATTAAAAGAGCAAAAATGACCGCACGTGAGAAAACTTCTAAAAAAACTGAATTGTAAGAGAGCTCTCAACCTCTCCAAACTAATTCGTCTGTTCTCAGTAGTTCCTCATCAACAGTCTCCTGTAATGATTCAGAGTACTTCATAAACAACTGCATGATGCGTAAGCACGCGACAACAGTGCCGATGCAACCCTGGAAAATTGCATTCTTTAATACTAAAGTAAAAAAAAAAATTCGTATTTATAAAGAATGATAACAAATGTCTAAAAATAAAAACGAATTAAAAACCTGAGTTCTCGAACATCCTTTGTCAACATCTTTCCCATACTCACCGATAAATGCAAAGTACGAACGCACGCAGGATAGTACGTACGCAACTGTCCTCGCTCTAACTGCTGCCCAAATTTCAGTTAAAACTCCGTTAACTCCAAAAATCCTGAAAGCAGAAGATAATACTTGTACTTGAGTAAAGCGTCGCACTTAGAAAGTTCTAGTTGAAAACAGCTTAACGAGAGACAAATAACAGCTCTAACTTCTCAAAGGCCGACTCCCTACTAGGCTCGTTCTCAAATGATGCAAAAACATCATTTTTAAGCATGGCTAAATTTTCTGCCTCTCCTACTGCTTGAATAATCTTTTCGATACCCAGTTTGTCTAACGAAGGAAACGCATTCTGAAAATCCACATTCAAAATTACTACTGAAATCTAGTTTTTCAATAGTATGGTAAATAAATATAATTATTAAGAAACACTTCAAGCTTTTAAGCACTACCTTTAAATGCCATGTCATTGCACTATGCTCTTCATCGGTGAATCTCATGCCAAATTTATCATCTTCCCCAACACCAATACATTTGTAACTCCAATCAGCAAAACGAGCATGGGCTTTTGCAAGATGGAAAGAGAGTTTACACGAAGCGCTTAAGAGCGAACCCACTAACCCTGACGCAGGGTCTGGAAGGAACAAATATAAACCATGAAAATTAAAAATACATCATCCAAAATCTAACACTTACTTAGAGGATGAGGCAAATTTGAAAGCTCAACGCCAAAAAGATGCCAAGAAATCCTAGATGACCGCAGAAGGGCAACGTTAATAAGTGTTGGCTCGTGTTCAAGCCATTCTGCCAGTTTTAGTATTGAACGCGACAGTAAATTTGACGGGTCCTTTCTCCATTTCCTTTGAACACTAGTCTTTGAAACAGGCACATTAAGATTTTGCTTAGTATCCTAAAACAAGTGCTTCAGAAAATCATAAAGGACATAAGAAATACTCAGAAAAACGTAAATTTAATCCTCACCTCAGCACCTTTCATCATTATTTGGTGAGAAAGAACATGTGAGAGAGCATTCGGCGCAACCGTTGGAGTTCCATTAAAAAGTGCGTTTGATTTGAATAATAGGCGGTCAATTTCGTCAGATAACGTATCATAGAGTATAGCAAAAGCAGTACTACACAAGTTACTATTCCCACTCGATATTCCCTCGGCGTATAACTGTAATTAAAACGAAATAATCTTGAACTAAAATGACAGAAATCTTTTGATTTCTATTCACAATGCTGTAAGGTCTACTTACTAGCTTGGAAGCAACACGACCAACGAATAGTTTTGAACTATTTGGACCTTCCATAACGTTACTAAAAGAGTTGAACATTCCATTCATCACTCCAGAGATGTTTTCTTTTTCAAAACCAGAAGGCCATCCATTCTATAAATTAATATTAATTACAACACCAGAAACTAAAGTTAAGAAGAACAAGTCAGAAAAGCGGATGAGTCCAAAAACCTCACTTCTACTTGCATTATTTTTGAGCACGACTGCATCTTCATTCCGTATAGCTGCATATGACGATTCGCTGAACGCAAATTTCCCAACTTTCTTGCAAGGTTACAAACATTTAAGTAGAAAGATGGTTCGTCCGAAACAATTTTCAGTGAGGTTCCCAGACTATTTTCAAAGCAATACTTTTCCAACCACTGACATAACTGTTGGCAGATGACGAAGGAATGAGGTGCAGAAGCCTCTGCAGTATGCAAAGGGATCATATCCGCCGCATCGGATGAAAACTGTAATTCCCGGCTCTTAGTTTACAGGAAGCAGAGATGTATATTGCTACCAAAAAAGTGAAAAAATTTCAAAAACTTATAAAACTAGGCGAATGTACTTCAACACTATCTATCTACTGAGCAATAAAGGTCAAAAGAAGACTTACCACCGGATCCGTTTTATGAGTCTCTTTCAGACTTGATGCTAACACATGCAGAACACTTGCTTTTACAACTGTTTTTGCCCCCGAATCAACTAATATCAACATCTGTGCATCCTCTCCCAAACGACGCATAAGATCGATCCTAAAATGGTACTACTATGAATGAAGCAGAAGAACAACCATTAAACTTGAAGATGGAAATAAGAAAACCAACAAAATAGAAAAATTAGACACTTATAAAAAACGCCCTCATAAAGTTCAAAAACAAAAATCCAGCAAGATGTCCAAAAAATTTAAAAAACTTAAGAAAAATAACCATTTTCTCACCTGCTATTCTTATTAAAAGCCCGAGTTAGTTCCATAAGTTTTAATTCATTCAGCTGAAAGCGACCATTCACATCCCAAGAAAGAGACTGATTATCATTGCTTTCTGTAAGTGGCACGAACGTAACTAAACCGCGCATTCTGAAAAATCAATGAATTATTTGAAGCTGTTCAACAAAACGTAAGGAAAATTCTTCCTTCTTTTAGTTGTCATAGCCATTGAATCAGACTTCTATAGCTCCACTGCTCAATCCTTCTTCCTCATTTCTCGAGATGAGGAAAAAGAATTGAGTCACGCAAATCTTCAAATAAGGGTACTATTAAGTATAAAAAAATCTTTAACTACAACGATGTGCACGGACCATTTTCAACCTCACTAAACAAAACATTCTTCTCTACAAGCAGAAAAAAATGTCTAAACCAAAGAAATGGCTGACAAAATTCAGGTAATAAAAGAGAGGAGATGCAAATATACCTTTCCCAGGCAGTTTCTTCAAAACCTTTCGGTGGAGGAAAACTGTCGTTGAAAACAACGTTTTTGTCATTCAAATCTTTCCACACACGCTTCAATTCCTCTGAACTACGCAGCATTATCAAACCAGTGACTATCTGAAACAACAGCCACAAATTTTAAGAAAAACTGTAAAGTAATGTAAACTGAAAAATTAACAAAAATGAATAAAATTTACCAAATGTCGCACAGTTTTGCAAGGGATTTCAGCCAATTCCTCATCAGACGCACATTTAATCAGTCCATCCAAAGCAAGTTCAATCCTGAATTAAAATTTTGAAAAAACCGCTTCGAGACAACGCCTTAAACTTAAAATCCAAGTAACCAATCAAAATGTCGCCACAAACCTCCCACATGCCATATCAGCAGCATAAATAATCCAATCGCTACCTATGCCATAATGCTTTTTAACCCACGCATGTAGGCCAAGAATTGCTTGGCCACCGCCAAGTTCAATGAGAGCACGCACGATCCATGAGATACATGTCCACACAGTACCATCAACCTTTGACTTTGTATCTGAAGCAGATTCATTATCAATAGTAATGGCAATGAAAACCACGAAAAGAAATAGATTTTTCAGCATTCATTTTATTTTTTGTTGGGGAGAAGAGAAGAAAATAATTCAGTGGAACTTCAAACAAGACATCCTTCACGTAATGAAAAATAAATACCTAAATCATTTTCTTTCCCATTTCTCTCACACAAAGAAGGTGAATTGCTGCGTTTTTGCGCATCCCGTAAAAAACAGCCACCTAGTCGCACCACTTGGGCGAAGTTGCCATTATGATAGGCAACAGCCATAGTGATCAAGTACATACGAGTGAGCCAGCTTGAACAGCTAGCTGCGTTCGTGATGAAAAATTGACGAGATTGCTACAACCGATGATATCATTTGACAAGCATAGCCAAGTAATGAAAAAATTTCTTTCTAGTGAACCAGTAGCTGTTA